AGCTGGATACTCAATATTCCATTATTTTGAGTAACAAGCTGCATTACTTCTAAACAAGCAGAATGTGAAGCCTTTTGTCCCTGCCTTCCCAAAAAGTTCCCAGTGCTGCAAGAGATGGGCAGGATGATGCCTGGGTTTTTCCAGGATTAAGAAAATTCAGAAGGCAAATATTATACACTGGAGGAGTATAATAACACACTGCTCAACTAAAAATAAATCCTACTATTCTAAAGAAAATGCATGAAATAGGAGACAACTCTTGTTTCATATCGCGCTTTTTTCCTACAAAGCCTCTTCCCTGCTCTGCTTTTTATTAATGAAGACATGCACATGAAGTAATTCCCCTCATTAATCAACTTCATTCTTTTGGTTTCTTCCTACTTCAAGTGACAACCCTCCATTTGGGATGTCACGTAGCAGTGCAGGCTGAGACTGATTTTAGGGTGGGATGAGTAGCAGAGGCAGATGAAACTCTCAAGAAACAGAGACTTTGGCTTCGAAAGGCCTCTCCAGTAGATGGGAAGAGGGAAAGGAATGGGTTCTAGTGAACCACAAATGCAGTATGTCACTGGGAAAGAGAAGAAATATCATGTAGGAGGAGAGTTGAGTAGTTTGAAGGCAAGTATAGAACCATCTCTGCGTGGGGCAGGGAAGGAGATGAGAGCAAGGCTGCTGAAAACAGTGCACAAACATTGCTCTTAGAATCACAGAAACATTCAGGTTGGAAAAGACCTCTAAGATCGTTGTGTTCAACCACCCAGCACTGCCAAGGTCACCACTAAATCGTGTCCACAAGCACCAAATCCACATATCTTTTAAATCCCTCCAGGCATGGTGACTCCACCACTGCCCTGGCCGGTCTGGTCCAACACTTCGCAACCTTTTTGGTGAAGAATTTTTTCCTAATAACCAATCAAAACCTCCCCTGGCGCAACTTGAGGCTGTCTCCTCTTGTCCTGTCACTTGTTCCCTGGGAGAAGAGACCAGTTCCCACCTGGCTCCCCCCTCCAGTCAGAGAGTTGCAGAGAGCAAGAAGGCCCCTCCTGAGCCTCCTTTTCTCCAGGCTGAGCCCCCCCCAGCTCCCTCAGCTGCTCCTCATCAGTCTTATGCTCCAGGCCCTTCCCCAGCTCTGTTGCCCTTCCCTGAACACCCTCCAGCCTCTCAATGTCTTTCTTGCAGCCAGGGCAGCACTTCTCCCTCCTTACAGTGTCTGATGCCATTGAACAGCTACGTAACGCGAAGCTCCCCCTGCTCTGAAAGGTCAGCTCAGAGCTCAGCTCTCGTCCCGGCTCTTCCATCTGCTCCTCATTTTCCCCTTTTCCTCCTACCCAGACACAGCTGCCTGCCCTGCTCACGTCAGCAGCCCCTGCACAGCCAATCCTCCAGCTCCCCTCCCAGCTGTACCAGGACAAGTGACCCCGAAAAGCTGAGGCACTGACGGCACATCCAGGGGAGGGGAACCACTCTGCAGCACGGGTGCTCCTCTGAAAGCATGAGGGACAATGTCCCAGGGGATCCTGGCCCCAGCGCCTGGTTCTGCCCAATAAGAAACACATTTCCACCAACATCTGCTTTTCCTCTGCTTCCAGCGTGCTCTCGTGCAACCCTGGGGCTGTGCTTCATTTTGGGGATGGGCCAGGTGGTCTTTTGGCAAAGGCTAAAGGTGTCCTCCAGATTTCCCTCGTTCTAAAGGCTGCTGTCATCTCACCAGAAAAGGTGGCCATGGGAAGCACCAAAAAAGCGCAGCTAAACCAGCAGTGGGTGGTGGCCCTCCTGCAGCAAATCCCTCCACAGCAGCAGGGAGAACTGAACACACACCTGGACCCCTGTAGAGCCCACAGGCAGGACGACCAGGGCTCCACCACCACAACCACAGGCATGTTCCTGAGCAGGGGCTGGCAGACACAGCAACACCACCAGGCAGGGCTAACCAAAGGTAGATCTGTTTGCCCAGGACCTTGTCTGAAAACTGTCATTCTCTCTCCTGAGATGCTCATTCTCCTGCATTTTTAACACTGTGTTTTCCTCAGAGACCATGCCTGTCTCATGAATCAATGGAGCCCCATAACCATCCTCCAACTACCAATTATTCTGTGAACCTTGTATAAAAGAACCATTTATGCTGTAGTTTTCAGTCAGCAACGCTGCCGGTTCACCCCAGGACACCATCCACTGTAAACCTATGTGTCACTCCAGCCACCAGCACAAAGAACCAGAGGAACACCGTGGTGTGCTGCAAGAAGGACCACTCAGATGTCAGACAAGAAAAGCAACCTGCCAGTTCCTCTCCATCTTTGGGGTAAAGTGCTCTTCCCCGCAGAAGTCATTCAAGGTAATTTTCTCTAAAAGGAACTTCCAAGATCGGGTTTTTGGCATAAAAGAAGAGTAAAAGCCTCGCTGTTCTCTGGTGCATTCATTTCCATTCTTGCCAGTTCAGGAGCAGGAAGCAAGGCAGGCTCTCAGACTAAGCAGATTTGCACCCCAAAACCCAGGAGCTTATGATCACTGACACTTAGTGCAAATTACACAGGCAAGTGTTGTGATCCATGATCAATGGGGTGTCAAAACCAAATCAAACACAACCAGAAGATCAGCACATCCCAGCATTCTCCATAGCTGCTACAGCGATGTTAGTAGAATACGCCACAGGATTAAAAATAGAAACTAAATCCTCTCTGGAGTTTCAAAAATAATAATAAACCTACAGAACTTCATAAAGAAAAAAAACTGTTTCTGCTGTAAAGTTTTATTGTAGGGCACAAACCCCTCCTCTTAGGATGTTGAGTATAAAAATACTGAAATCATCTTATAAAATCTGTTTTCCCTTTTGGCCCCGTTTCCAGAGCTCTGGGTCACTTCATCCCTTTAAAGCTTCCTTTGTTTGCAGCTCAGTTATAAACCAGCAGCTTACAAACAAAGCACTGCTAGTCGAGGGATGAATGTGTCACTACACCTATCCCTGACACCAAACACCATTTAATATCCACCTACAACTTCTGCATTTGCACCACATCCTCCTCCTGAAGCAGCTCAGAGTTTATTTGATCACCCTGAAGGGAACTAAATAATTAAATCAGTTTGACTACACAACTGGATGTAATAAAACCTGTTCATATGCTTGTGCTGAATAATACTCTTAAGCCTGCTTTATGTTTAGTTTCCTCCTTCAGGTATACATCTTGGTTTGGAAACGCAATTATCCTCACCTCCTCATTAGATAAAGGTAATTAATGCAGCCACAGCCATGTGGATATATTAATTCAATGTTTGCTGGGTTTCAAAGTCTGGAATAAGACCAGCCCCACAGCCCACCTGGACTGCAGGTCCTGGGGGTAACAGATAAGAGGAAAAAACTTTTGGGGATGTTATTGCCATTTTCCCAGTGCAGACATGGCAACAGAGTCACTGCCAGTCCCCAACACTATCCAGGAAAGCTGGAGCAGCACCAAAAACCCCCAGCAGGAGCTGGGATGGGCAAAGTGCCAGGCTGCCCATGGGGACAGTGATGGTGCTCTGTCCTAGGGAACAGTCACAGTTTTCTCCCAGCATTTCTGGTTCTCAGAACTCTACAACTAAACCACACACACAGGCTTTGCCAGAATATGACTGAGACAGAGGAGAAGGGACAAACCTGCCATGGGCACTGCTAATCCTGCAGTGATTCGCCGCATCCCACAGGGGCAAAAAGCCACCCTAAAACTGAGATTGAGTAGCCCCTAAAACTGCCATTAAACAGTCCATTAGACCGAAGTCTCACATCTTGATTTCCAATGAATCAAAATCTTTTTTTCCAGCAGACCACTGGTGCCTCTGTACAACCTCCTTGCTCCAGCATCTCCGGGGTCGGGGCTGCTGCGGGCAGGGACCGCCTGAGGGAGACAAACCCCTTCCCTGGACACCAACAGCCCTGCTCACTCACAGGCTTCCAGCTCCTCCCTCACGCTAAACTTACCCAAATCATTTGGTGAAGTCCTCAGTACCTTTGTGTTAGGGATGCAACGGCAGCACAGGTTTATTCTGCAGAATTAACCCCATCTCCCACCTCTCCCCTTCTGGGAAACACTGCTGTCCTCCCCAGGGAGGCTCACAGGGGTGCAGGGGAAGTGAAAACTGCAAACAGCTCTGGAATTCCCTTCCAATCCTTCTCCCTTGAGCTCCACAACACATGTAAAACTCAACAGATGTTTGGGCATTCAAGGAGAATTGGGCATGAGGGCACGAGGTGGCAGAGACAAGGAGGGAGTTCTCCTGACACACTCCTTGAGGAAAAAAAATAAAAGAAAAAAAAGAAAAAGGTGTATCAAGCACAGAACGGAGAAGGCTATGATAGCCAAGAAGCCCCTTCCAGAGCATCAGGCAGTACAGGACTTGCTGCACCCATTCAAAAAACAGGAATAGAGATGGAAACATGCTGTGAACATGGGGAACCTAGGCAGTGGTTTTTACCAACCCATTACACCAAGCATTGGGCCCCTTGGAGCTGGAGCACCACGGCCAACCAAGTGCGTTAGTGGGGATGAGGGGAGCCAGATGAGAGCCTCTGGTTTGAGATCCAGTTAGAATAAGGACTCCCACCTTCTGCACATCACAGCAGGACATCTCTACTCCCCAGAAAAAATTTTTGGAGATGGGTAAATGAGGATCTATCTCAATACCTGAGGCTCTTTCACCAGTGTCCTCAAATTTGGCCACTTACAGCTCCAAGTGGGACAAATCCCAAAGCCTTCACTAACTTCACAACCCAGTGAACTCTTAGGTCAGAACATGAACACCACCATGAAAGGGCTCAAGTATTTCACCCCTATAAACATTATTGCACAGGCTTCTGCCTTTTAGGGCTAAATCCCTCAAAAGCTGTTGCTGATAAAGAAGGAGGCAAGAGGATTAAAAAAAAAAAAGAACTCAAAAAAGGTGAAGAAATTCAAGTCATGGGAAAAGACTGAGAGGACCACAGAGAGCAGATTAGAAGTGAATAAAAATAAAAGGAATGGTGGAGTTACCGGGTAACCATCACGTCCTGACTGCCCCTGTGGGGGGGAACAAGGGAGACAAGTCAGTCAATGCATCTGTAACAGCACGAGAACACAGCAGCAGGCAGGACATGGGGCCATCAGCTCCCCAGCCAGCCCTGGCACTGAACTCCTGAGAAACCTCTCGGGGCAATTTTCCTATCCCAATGGTCACACCTACAGCTTATTTTGCCCAGATTTTCATCTCGTGCCTCCCCCCTTTGGCTACTTACCGAGGGCTTTGCCAACTCGCACCCATCCCTGCTGTCTGTGCTCTCTCCCTGCTGCCCCTGGAGCCAGGGATGTGCACGGCACACGCTGGATCCTGGCTGTAAACCTGCCTTGGGATGGGGGTACCAAGAGGTTTGGGGAGAGGTCAGGGAGGCTGTGGCTGCTGAGCCAGAGGCCAGGACAGCAGTCACTGAGCTCCAACCTCCTTTTCCAGCACTTGATTCAGAGAAGGTTTCCCCCTCTTAGATCCATCAGTTTCCTCACAGGATGCAGCTCTCCCAGCTCACATCTAAGCTTTGCTTCGCTTTGCAATGAAGCAGAAAGCACAGCTGATGCCACGGGGAAAGACCCTGCTCAAGTTGCCAGTAACACCTGCGAGATCAGCAGAAGAAAACGCAGCCCACTCGGGATATTTCACCTTCTCTGCTCCCCTCGGGAGGTTCCCAAAGGCGTTTACAGCCCGAGCTGCTGTTAAACATGCCGTGAGCCACAGCAGAGCCTGCTGCAAGCCAGACCTAAGGCAGACTCCCTGGAAGGAGCTGTTAAGTATTAGCTGGTACACAAGTAGGCAGTAAAGCGTGTTGCTGGTACAGCAATGTCATCTGCTACCACAAACACAGGTTATGTCAGCGTGCTGCGGGAGTCGGGCATCTCTCGTGGCATGGAACAGCCCCCTCCCTTTCCCTGAGCGCCCCTTTGGCCTCTCATGCCTCCTGCAGCACCCTCCTGATCCATCCAGAAACAGTGTTGACTTCGACAACCGCCTATTTAACAAATTACAGTCTCGGGATAAAGTGTACAGTGAGATTTTTATGGAGACGTATGGCACTGGAGCACACATGGATAAATCGGAAACACTTGTAATGCCCAGCCCTCGCTAATACATAATGTGTTTGCTAATATCTGGGACTGTAAATGTTTAATTACAGTCTGTGGTAAGTCTATCTTTCAATTGTAGAAATTTCCTACCCAGCATGTGATTTTAATACCCTCCGAAACAGAGATTTTTATGGCATATCTGAGCAGAAACCCCCTCACTCACAGACAGGACAATCAATCATACAGCAGCCACAAATCCTGTACCACAAATTCTAGTAATTTCATACACATAACTAGATTATAACAGCAAAAAAAAAAAAAAATAAAATACCAGAACAACTGCTACTAGGGAACAACAGAATTGAGGATAAAGTTTGAGCAGTGTGATGCTGTACATGTAAGGAGTAATTGATTCCTTATGGCCAAAATCAAGAAACAAAGGAAACTAATAAATACAGTACTGCTGAAATAAAATAACATTGTGGTTCTGTGGGTTCTAGGACTTATATATTATGCTTAAAGAAGTCTCTGACAAATGCTGCTTATGCTAAAAAGCAGGATTGAAAAAAAAAAAAAAGGCAAAAAAACCCCGAACCAAAAATGAACTAAACCAGGAGCTGTCTTTTAAAGAAGGGCAAGGGGAGAGAGGGAAAAAAAAAAAGATAAAAAAATGTCTTGTTTGTGTTAAATCTCCCCTGTGCTCTGTTTGCAATTCAATAGTGCCGTGGGAACCAGGAAATGAAACCAACTAGAGACAAAGAAAAATTAATAGTGCACCATATGTTGCCTATGTCAAATCACATACAATAAACGTGACCAGACAGCACACGTGAGGCAGTGTGTGTAACCCAGCCGGCTGCGTGTGGGCTGATAACAGCCCCTGAGCAGAAGCAGAACCAAAACAGCCAAATACATCCATTTTAAATAAGCCAAAGCACTTCAGCCAAGAGGAAAACGTCCCTTAAAAGGTGTATATATGGAGTTTTAAATAGGCAACATCCCAGTATCCTCTTCACGTGTAACCTGACATTGAGTGAGAAATTACTTGTTTTCTTAAATAATTAGAGCCAAATTGCATGAATGGCATATTGGGAAAAAAAATAAGTAAGTGCCAGGTAGAAGCCCTGTGGGGACCAGCTCCAGCACCCAAAAGGCCTCCCTGACTCCACTCGTCTGTGCTCAGCCCCAGCGGATGCTCTCCACAACCTCCCAATTTCCTCCTTCAAAAGCCGCCCAAATAATCATTTTGCTCAACTCCCTCTTTAGTCTTTACATTAAAAAACGAACTTGAAATAGAAGCAAAAATTCAAAGGGCTGAAATCCCTTAACTAAACCCCCAGGCAGTGCTGCTGATCCCATGAGAACAGAAGCCATGGTGCTGTTACAACCCCAATACTTCAGGTACATCCCCAATCACCTTCTGGCTTTTAAACACATTTACAGAACTGGAAATGATCTAGCTCAGGAATAGTAACCAAATTTAATTTTTCCTAAAATAGTCCCTTTTTAGCCCAGTGAGGCTCTACAGGAAAAGAACAACACGAAGAAACATCTCTGTTATTGTAATGACAGAGAAGGAAATGTGGTTGCAAACAGCCTGTACCTCCCCTCCTCCTCCTCCTCCTTCTGGGGGAAGAAAGATAGAAAACTTGAAGCACCTAATACCCATAATCTCTTTTTTTTTTTTTAACAATCCCTCAGCAGCTTGGAGGGCACAAACAAAACATGAATTCTCACTCCAAAACCAGCAGGAGAACAACAGATTTGAATGTGGTGGCACAGCCGAAAGCACGTCTGAACACTTGGAAGGAGGAGCTGACACATTTTCAACTATTACCCCTTCAAACAACTATTTCCCCATAAATTTTCTCATTGTATTGGTAGAAATGCTCATTATTCTCCCCAGGACTTCAAAGAGAGAAGCAAGCAAGCTATGGTTTTCCCTCTAGCCCCCCTTGTGAGGTGACCAAATCTGTATTAAATGATGGAAACACAACAGATAAGAAAAGCAAGACAAAGCTTTAGAACCAATGAACCCACCAACATGTTAAAATATTAGTACAGGACTGTTTCTGTTAAATGGAGACAGACTAAAGAACTCTTTAAAAGGAGAATTCTTTTTTACTGAATATTTTCTGAGCTTAAAATTACTGAAAGTCCCTCAGGGCAGCAAGTTCAACATTTTAAAATTCCTCTCCCCCCCTTCTATTTGTCTACAATCATAAAAAAACTCCAGCAGCATCTGGTACCAATTTTGCTTCCAGACACACCTCTACCAAAAAATGCTGTGCTTTTGCAAGGACACTGAAAGGCAGGGAAGGGGGAAGCCTTAACTTTGTTGATCCAACCAGTAAAATCCACGATACTTACTGCAGGTCCTGGAAAACAAAAGAAAAACAGAGAAAAAAAAAAAAAGTCACTTAATTGCAAAGAAAAAGCATAATCTGATAAAACAGCACATAGCAGTAACCAACATGAGATCTGTTCAGGACTTCCCAGTTCAATTCCCACGGGATGACTTTCCAGATGCACTTAACACCCTCTGCATCCTCCTGTAGCAGGACCATCTCACCCGTGCTGCTGGCACAGCAGTGCAGACAGGGGTGCAAAACCAGTCTTTTCCCACCTTTTCTCCAGTGTGACTGGGGATTACAAACAGCAGCATCCAGGCTTCACGGTTATGAAGAGCCATCCCCTCTCCCCCCACAAGACCACGCACAGGACATGAGGGCCTGGGGCATCCCCTGCAACCACAGAGCAGTGCCAGCAAAAAGCAGGCAGATGTGGCTGGAAAAACATGCAAATTTTTATGAATTAAAACCATATTTTCACCATGGACCTTATTTTTTCTTCAGGTTGTGGAAGGGGAGAGGGAGGCAGGCTTGCAAAAGCCAGAGGAGTAGTGCATTGGGCACCTGACAAGGACATTGTTACAGCTTCCACAGATCCCAGATGCTGCTGTTGCTTGGTTCCTGTCAATCCCTGACCCCAAAACACGTCACACAACCCCACAGTCCTGTGTCACTGCTCAAGGGCTCTGCTGTGCCCAGAGGCAGCCAGGGGGTTGATGCACAGTGCCTTTGATCCAGGGAAATGCCCCTCACATCTCCTTGAGACTTCAGGTGCCAGTGCCACAGTCTGACACTGTGATTCATGGCAGTAGAAGAAAAAGAACCAAACATCTCCCCTATATTCCCCAGCAGTGCAGGGCTTTTCACCACCTGCCACCCCAATTTCTACAGTTTTCCCTCTGCTTGCCCAAGCTGGTGCTACACAGAGGTGAACACTGAACCCTAATCCAAAGCAACCCACATTGCTCTCTTGTTCACAAGGCAGCCTATAGCTCTGTTCTACTTCTTCATGCTCTGATCAAAACCAGAAACTAATCACACTTAGAAAAGAAAAAACGTGAGGAAAATTAAAATAGAAGGGGGAAAAAAAATCAGCTTTGTTCATCCTAGGTTGTTCAACAATATTAATCAGGAAGCATATTTCAAACAAATGCCTTTTTGCAAGGTTTTTAAAATTAGTTTTAAAACTGAAACATCGTTAAATTGAATTAAAAAAAAAGAAAAAAACAAAGACCGAAAAACAAGAAAAGCTTGAGAATGAGGACTGGCACCAAGTAAAGACTGGCAATGAACCAAGAACCATCCTTTCAGCCTGTGTCTGTCACCTGAACAGTCAGTGTCACACAGAGCCACAGCCGAGTGCACATGGAGGGCAGGAGACAACCTCCACATCTCCCTCCGTGTCAGGAGACCATTTTCTTTAGTACCAAAATTCACACAGGCTCTGAACTCACTCCCCTTGGTTTAATTTCTTCTGAATACAGAAGTCAGTGGCTCTCTGCCAGTTTATTAACTGAGAATCATAAACCCGATTTATTAACTCACTCACACCGAGCTGCCCACAAAAGCCCTTCTGTGGAAAAGTCAAAGACTGAGTCTCAAATAAGAAGCAGACAGGAAATTATTTTAATATGGGATTTCAATCATGTACCAATTATAATCTCTTTGGAATTTGTTGCCTTTTTGCCTTTTCTCGGCTACTGTTTTTAACCCCAACATGTGCAGGAAAGTGCCCTTTAAAGTGATTCCCTCTCAAATCCAGGAATCACTGTTGACTGGGGGGAGGTCTGTATATGGACCCTGGGATGTTCTCCAGCCACATCAGTGGAGTTACACTAATCTTTCACTGTGCTGTGAAACAGAGCTAGATAAATCTCCATTAAGGCATAAAGTGAAACCTATTGAACTAATCTCTTCTCCTCCTAGGAGCAACATCACTTTCTGGCTTGCAGAATGTGTTTTTCAACAGCCCAGCCACAAGACACTTGTTTCCTATGGAAGAAAGTCAAATATTTTGCAAGCCAACAATAAATAATGACGTTGATCATGTAGCCAGGGGCTGTCCCCCACCCAGCCATCTCACCAGTGTGGGCACATTGCATAAGAGGTATGATCTTCTCAGAGAAATTTGCCAGAATTTACTGCTAATAATTTTGACTAGTGAGAATCAGGAGGAATGAAACCACTTAGAAATTCTTCTCATAACAAATAGAAGTTGGAAGCAGCCTTTGTGTATTTAAAATTCCATGACAAATTAACTCGGGGGCTGATTTCAGAAGGAGGAGAAGAAAGACAAAATAATCTGCAAACACACAGATTTTGGTCTATGATTGATTTGCTCTGAAGAAGGATGATGCTGCTGCTCACCAGCAGTGAACACCTAGTGCCCAAGCCTGTAAGGGACAGAGAAATTTGGAAACACCAAGAGATTCCTTAAGAACATGGACAGCTGTGCTAGCAGGAGGTGGAAATCAAAACTCATTAAAAATAAATGACCCAGATTTCCTGATCAACTAACATTAATGTTATTTTGTATATCCAAAGCCCTAGCAGGTCACAGTGGCATCATCCCCAGCAATACACAAACACATGGGAAATGGCAGGCCACAGTCATTTATTTCTAAGTATTTTTGCAGCTTGGGAATTTTGGGATAAGATATCATTTCTGTTAAATGTGCAAATCATTCATCATGCAAGCTTTCCTGCCACGAGAGGGGAGAGCCAGGTGGGGGAAACAAAACCAGCCAGACCTTCCCAACGGCTCAGGAAGAGTCAGAGGGGACTTTGCTGCAGCCCTAATGGGCAAAGAGCCCATCCCCAAGGTGGCAAACATGTGTGGCCACCTGAAGATGTAGAAAATGCTAATTTAAAAACAATATGTATACAATCACATAAATATCTATATAAACACGTAGCTATGGGTATTTATACACACAGTATGTATATACATACATATAGAGTTATTAATTCAGGATGCTGTAAGGGGAGTAACTGAGTCATGGGCAGCAAGGAAGGAGAACAACTGCTATAGTCATAAGAAGTTACAGAGAATCTGGGAAAATGATTTGTCACTGTGTATTGAACTATTATCTAGGCAAAAAGCTAAATGCGGGACAAGTTAGATTTTTCCTGAAGTTCAGCAGAAAAAGAAGTCCTTGGGTATGAGAAATACAAGGAAGAGTGAAACACACCAAATAAATACAAATTTTTACATGATTTACCCACATACACCCAGACACGTGCTTACTGAATAAGAACAACTACACATTTGCACTTGTTCACTCAGTCACATGGCCAATGGGTTTAAAAGGGTAAATCTTAATGTGTAAAATATTAGATTTCAATCCATGTAGACCTGGGAGAGAGATAACATTTCCCTGCACAGAAATCACTTTGTGTTTTTTCTTAAAAAAAGTTTTAGATTCTTCCCTGTTCCAGGATATTTGTACAAACAGGATAGTTGTAAGAAAAAAAAACCACCCAAACAAACAAAAAAACCTCTGAATTAAAACTTTCTTAGAAGTTCAAATTAAAGCAACATTTGCAGGGCAGTGTAAATTTGGAAACCAGAAGTCACGGGTGGTGGGCAGAAGACTTTTATCCCAATTCAGCAGTTTCGACACATTCCCCCAACAAGTGTTACTGAAATGGAAAAACTTTGCAAACAAAACTTTTACTGCCAGAAACAAGCAATAGTGCCAAGTCAGTATTTTCCAATGAAATTAGACTTCATTAAAAAAAATGCCCTCTCAGGTCTACCTGTAAGGGCAATTTTGTAGCTGTTCACTGTTGATGCAAACAGGGGCTACCCAACACCACAGCCATCAGCTTTGGGTGTTAATGTCCAGAACCAGCTCTTGCTTCATGTGAGGAGAGCAGAGACATACCCAGAGACTTTCCAGATTGAGCACTTCATGTCTATTTTCTCCTGTTTTATCCTGAGGGATATTCTGAGGTTCAGAGCAGTTTTTGGGTCAATCTTCAAGCCAGGAGAAGAAAGCAGTGTGATGTTACAAGAGACACGAGCATTACCTCCCACCAACTAGTTATGCAAAGACTTTGAACAAATATTTAAACTAAATTCCCAAATCCTGGATCTGATTCATCCATCCTTCAGGAACACCCCGGTATGGATCAACCTTTACAAAAAATAAACGTAGAGCCCAGGGAGGGCTGCACATCCATACCCATCCTACTCACACAGCACCAGGTGGCAGCAAGAGGGGAAGAAAAACCTCCCAGGTCCCTGGAGAAAATCCATGTTATTTCACAAACACTCACTCCAGCAGTTGAACTGTGTCCTCACTGGGACATATCACGTTGAAAGAATAAGCTAAACATGACATTAAACCTGATTTTGCCTTTGGCACGGAAAAAGAACTGTATCTGAGACGTGCAGGCTGGCTGTCAGCACCAGCCATGAGTGCTGCAAAACCTTCCTTCCACCTCACACTCAGAGAAGGCTGAAAATCCCACATGAAGTTGTATTAAAATGGGTTTTTCTTTTTATACACCAGCTGTTTCCGTGGGTGGGTGCCCGTGGGTCTTCAAGGTTGTGCTTAACTTTCCAGCTGCAAAAGAAATCTGATGACACTCATGTTCAGGAACAAGAATGTTGGGACCTGTGTGTTGGTTCTGGCACGGTTGGGATGGAGCTTGGACGTGCTGGACCAGACCAAACAGCCACAGGGAGCTCAAGTATGACACCTCCCCAGGGAAGCTGCTGCTTTGAGTTTCCAGGCCTCATGGTAGCAACAGTGGAATAAATTGGTTATTAAAAGTAACCTCTTTCACACTGGTGGTGCCTGGGTGACTGTCACTGCAGTGACCATCTCTGGACACGTCTGCTGTTCCACTGCTGCATCAGTGATTCCCACAGGGCCAGGTGATGGAGAGAGTAAATAAAATGGGTCAGATGGAGCCATTTGACTCAATTACTCCCTGGTTTGTTCAGCTGGGCTGTCAGCAGCAGAAACACTCCCCCAGGTACTTGATCTTTGTGTCTGAGGTCAGGGAAGGGATGACAGTGGGGACGACTGTGCCCACATAGGAAGCCCAGGGGAAGGCTGGGGTTTAGCACAGGCCCCCCCTTGCCCTCCGGGGCTTCCCATGGGGAAAACTTGTTGCCTTTATGCTTCTCTGCAACAAAATAAACTAAGCCAAGCCCAGAGTCAGGGCCCCAGCGAAACCCACAGCCTGCCCTCAGCAGGTCCCAGGGGCAATGGTGGTTCATCCCCATGGTCTAACAAGTGCTTTCTGCAGCACATCCAGCCAGACTTGTCCCACTTCCAAACATCTAAATAGTTAATTACCCCCATCCTCAGAAATGGTTTATGGTACGATGTCTTTCTGTGGTGGAGAGTGTGTTTTCAGGATGATGGATTCTTAGTTTAGAGAAACACAACTCTTGGATTAATATTTTTTTTTTTTTAAAAATCTGAATCCATCAAGGCAAAAGACAAAAAACCAAATTTAAGTCTTGGTTTAAATCAGTAGGAGGGATGTGATTTAAAAGGGACAGAAGTATCTCTTAAAAGTTTCTTTGCTTGTTTCTTAGAGATATAAGTTGAAAGTTTCGATATAAATCAGAAAAAAGTTTTTCAACGTGACCATTTTCAACAGTTGCCAGAAAAAATGCTCCCCTTGGCTGGGCTGAGCCTTCTGGCTCTCCAACAGCATTTGTCTGGAGTCTGTGAAGCTCCAACCAGGCAGTGTCCCTGGGGATGGACACCGGCGTGCTGCACAAACAAAGTCTGATTCACATTTATCAGCTGTAGTGAAGGAACAAGGACCTGGTTTATGTGTGGTCAGGTTCTCAAACAAATATAGGAATATATATTCAAGCTATCTGGAAAAACAAACATCTGGCAGCTCAGCCAAGAGCAATACACAGCAGGATGCCTGCTCTCCGTGTGTCTCTGCAGCACAGAGGGACAATCCACAGGGACTGAGCTGCATTCCTGGGATTTCACTGCTGTGCCCCATCGAGCACATCTGAGTGTGCATCTCTGTGCTGCTACAGGTGGCTGCTGCACCCTGCTTGATTTTCCTCCACAATTGCAAAGAAGTTCAGAAAAAGTTATTTAGTGGTTTGAATTTTCTTTTGTTATCAATAATCGATTTTTTGTTTTGTTTTTGTTTGTTTGTTTGTTTTGTTTCTTCTATAATGCTTTTTTTCTTGCTGTTTTTTCCTGGCAGCTTTCTGCTTCAGAAGGATGCTCAAGTGGCATTTGCAGGCATGTCACAGCATGAGGGCAAATGCTGCTTTTCAAAAGCTTTTGGATGAAACAGGGAGAAGGGATTGAAGGGCACGTGCAAGCTCAGCACTGCCTCCCAGAATTTTGTGTGGACTAGAGACACATCTTGGACAGCGTTTACACAAATGCCTGCATACAAAATCAGATCCATTGGCTGACCTCTCCAGTTGCCCTTGGTTGAATGCTGTACTCCACTGTGCTTTTTGAAGCCATTAGTGACAGCTAAAAGCCAACCAAAAAAAAGAATCAAAGCTGTCTGGTGGTTATTCCTACAGCCCAAGGAAAATGGGGTTTAATGAAGCTGGCTGGGATCCACACCCCTCCACCCCCAACGAGTGCAGAGCCCATCCCTTGGCCAGGAGTAAATCCCTGATGCTTCAGGAACAAAAATATCTCAGAAAACACCTAATGCACTGAAATAGCATCAGTGGAAGAGAAGGGAAATGCCTGCCTGCCTTCCGTAAAAGTCAATCCACCAGTTCACATGCTGCTAGTGTGCAGCACAAAACCCCTCAGTTTCCTTTCCCCCAAAGTTAAAAAAAATTGTTTAAAATATTAGTGATCAGGGCTGCCCTTTTTGAAAACCCAGGCATGTATTTTCTATAGCAAGAGGCAGCAGAGAACAAAATCAGCTTCCCTGCTAAATGAAAATCTACCTGGTCCTCTTTCCTTCTCTCCATATTCAGGAACCCAAGAGCAGAGAAGTGCATAATTTAATCTGCTGTTTTCTCTCATACAGTTGCAAACCGTGTGGCTTTCAAGGCACATCCCTGTCTGACTGACTCCTTAGAAAGAGCAACACTAACTGCATCTCTCCCCTCTCCAACAGCACTCAGACCCTACAGCAGAATGTAAACAGCACTTCTCCCCAGCTGAAAGGGGGTTGGTGCTTTCCCATTTCACAAGACAGGGGAAAAAATACAAACCCCCACCAGACACACTGAAGTGACAGAGACGCAATATTAAACAGTCAGCTCAAATAATAATTCCCAGCAAGGCTGCTCTGCAGCCTCCCCCGGTGTGAGGGCACACTGATGCTCAGGTGGCTGAGGTTTGGTTACCCCTGACTCTAAAATGCTGACACCATCCATCATGTGGCCAGCAGGCAACGTATAGACACATCCACAAGCAGAGAACAAGCCAGAGCACACCTCCCACCTAAAAATGGCCAGGGGATTCTCTGTTTGTGTGTTAATTCACAGTCCTTCTTCAATGTTGGATGGGACAATAACAGGGCTGAATGCTGCAAGGGAGAAATGGAAGGATGGATAAAATATGCAACAGCAGCGGGTGTTTTGAGTTGGATTTGTTTGTTTTGACTGTTTGCTTGTTTTCCTTTATTTATTTTTTAGTGGTTTTTTGTTTATTATTTTAAGTTTTTATAGAAACCTTCATATCCAGCACATAGGGACGTGGGAAGCCCCAGTTCCACAGCCCATTAGATGAGGGTGAGCAGTGTCATTATCAAAAGGCTCCAGCACCACCCAGTGACACCCACGGGGCCCTCAGTGACGCTGCTGGGACAAGGTGACACTCACCGGGTTCTCCGCGCCGGCCGGGCTTCCCTCGCCTCCCTGGAGGACCTGTGGGGAGCAGAGAGCACAGGGTTAGTGATGCCCCATGGCCACAGTTTAGGAGAGTACCCACCACAAGTCCTTCCCTTCGGATCCAGCCCACCTTGTGTCTCCCCGCCTTTCCCAACTACCAAAAAAATCAGTAGGCCGCACATCTTAAACACCACTCTTTCGTAACATACAGAACTTTGGTGAAAAAGCCAAGGTCAGGCTCCTAGGCAAGCTGGGAAGCAGGTTTTCAAGTTATTGGTGTTGCCCACACAGAGGGAGCTGTCTTACATGCTTCAAAATTCTGGAAAAAATACTTTGCAGGGTGGGTGGCAGCGCTGTGTAGTTCCTGAGTGCTGCAAATGCCTGTAACTGGCTGGGAAATCACAATAGCTAAAGAATTAAAGCAAGGAACCTTTATAAACCTTTTGGTACTAATCAGTGTCTGAGTCAGAAATTTTTTTAGTGCAGACATCTGACACAGCCTAAATCTGGTCATACATTTCTGAATTTAGACCCAGGTTTCAGATGTAAAGCTTGCTTGTACTCTTACCCTTCTGGGAAGCAGTGGCCAAGGGATTGATAAAGTACCATAAATAACAAAATACCCTTAATTAAGGAAAAATGGCACTCAGACAACACACAGTTGCAGAACACTGCTCCAGCACACACAGAACATCCAGGTCCTTGACAAAGCCATAACACCGTGTCCTTTATGTCCACATGTTGCAGCCTCTGTGCTGTAGCCAGGCTTCCCTGCCTGGGACCTGGCAGCATTCCCTCTCCCACAACACGTGCATTGCCAGGTTGGAAGAAAAGGCCACTTTTTGCACCCTTGTGCAGCAGGTCAGCCAGCTCTGGTGGAGCATTTGCTGAGTGACAGCAATGTAACAAAAAACAAGGGCTCATTTTTTATCTGGGAAACTACACTGCTCCCTCTCCTCTCTGCTGGAAAAGGATGATAAACAAAGACTACTAAATATTTCTGCCCTCCTATCAGAATCTCCCCTGTTGCTTAAAGAGTTCTGTGCCCAAATGTGCAACTGCATCTCCAACAACTGGAATTTCAGCTGTGGGTTGGAGTTTTGCACTTTAAAGTTTGGATACACTGCCCAGCACTCCCCCTTCCCAGATCCCCACACAGTTCCAGCAGACCCTTTGCCCTCACAGGGGCTGCAGTGAGAGCCCCAGGCCCCACTTGGTCCCTTGCTATGGGAATGGCAACTTGCAGCCAGAAGCCCCAGATACCTTCTCAAAGGATTGGTAAAAGTGTCTGTTGTAAATCCCTAATTGACTTCCTCACAAGTTTCTATGGGTGAGGCAAAATAACAAAAAAAATAAAAGAAAAAAAAAGAAAAAAAAAGGCATATTTTCAGTCTCATTAATTCTTGAAACCACATTACACCCAGGAGAAAGGTTTACTGCCCTCCATCCTGAAGTCAAGCTGCTATGGAGAGCAACCACAATTCTGACGAAGCACCTTTTCCAACCTTAAAGACCAGACAAGACTGAACAATTAAAGTCCATCTACCTGCACCTCCCTCCTGGCTAATTATGGAGGTCTGACCCCCAGGTAGAGCCCAAGCCCCAGCAGCCTTCAGCCTCCCTTGGGGTGTGGAGGCTGCTTTAAACACCAGCTTTGCTTAATCCTTCCCTGGCTTTCGACAGACTCCTCCTGGATGTGTTTAGAGTGGCTCGTTCGTAACCATTTTGCTTTACCTCTTCTGCTGGCAGCAGGCAGAAAGCACAGGGTGTTTCTTAGGGAGGAGGAAATGTCCTAATGAAAGTGTAGGAGAGGGAGGCTAAGTTTTTAAACAAGTGAGTAATGAGTTGGTAGCGATGCTTTGAGGCAATTTAAAGGAGGGTTGATGTCAAAGGGTGAACGCACGGAGCTCCCACATGAGGTTCAGGTTGGAGTCATTCAACTGAGAATGTGAGAAACCTGCAAGGAACCAAATATGCTGTACAAAATGGGAAATTAATCCTGTTTGTTTGGGGTTTTTTTTAAAAGTTTAAGTGATTTCTTGATACTTCATGCCACAAGAGAAAAATTGACTCTTGCCTACATCCCAGGAAATATTCCCCATCCCAGGAAATATTCAAGGTCAGACTGGATGGGGCTTTGAGCAGCCTGATCTGGTTGAAGATGTCCCTGCTCATTGCAGGGGGATTGGGCTAGATAATCTTTAAAGGTCCCTTCCAATCCAACCCATTCTATGATCTTGTAACCTTTCCCTACAGTCCTTAAGAAAATCTGTAAAATGGGTGCAGCACATTGAATTAAAAATATATTTCAGAGATATTGCCTGTGGCAAGTGTGAGAGAACCAAAGTTGAGAGAGGAAAAACTAAAAACCCATTCTCATCTGTTTTACTTGTTTTTACCTGAAAGCAATTTGGTAAAAGAGAGAGAGAAAAAAAAGAAGAGAGATGTGTTTTAGGAATCAAATCTAGAAACCTGTTGCCATTTAGGAAACATGTCTGAGGAGAGAAATCTTAGTGGGGATTAAAAGAAAGAACATCATACCCAGTATCTACTTTGGACAAGAGTTGCAAGTCTCAGCCCTGTGATGCAGATGTGGGTAAGCAGAAGGACACAGAGGTCCTAGCTCCAGGAGTCATTAATGCCATCTGCAACCTTGTAAGTCAATTGTCTGCATGATTGGGAATTATTATTTTAGCAATTTCTAGCCTATTCTGGGCGCTCAGCTTTAGATACTGTTAAATGAGTTGGGCACAAAGTGAATCCATATTAAACCTCTTGTTTCCAACCCCTTTAAGAGACTACAAAGCAAATTAAGGAGGTCTGAGAATTTGTTTGAAGCTAAATGTTCACTGTAAACTGTTAACCTAATGACTCCATCTCCCAAAACCTTGCAGCCTGATGCTTGTTCAATGTAATTAAGATTTATGTTGCATTAAAGTCAATTTGGCAATAGCCAAGTCTTTTCTCCAAACTGTGCCAGCTCCACTGTATCAGTTCTGGGAGTCCTTTATTTACATTGTTATGAAAGGCAGTTTTGGAGAGCAGAATGAATACAAAGCATAACACAGTCTATTTTTAAACAACTTGTCACTTTCAAGCTAAACAATCTTAATCCAGGGCATAATATGCAATTTCTGACAACACCATAAGATCTCCAGTAAGATGATAGATTTAGTAACCCAAACCCAAAGAAAGACAATGAAATATGTTGCTATTTGAAAATGTTATGAGGAAGAGACGATGGATGCATCTAAATAATAGCTTCTCAGAAACAAGGTAGAAAGTTCACAAACAGGCTCACAATTGCTGGGTAGCAGCCACTTATGTCATCTACTGTGGGCAAGTAAATGAAATATTAAAAATCAACATCACTTTATAGCTCACACAAAATATTGACAAAAGCCAAGCCCATGTAATTGTCCACAGTGCAGTAAATAACCTTTGTTTGAACTAATTCACCCACTGCAGATTGGGTAACTACAAATTGGGCTGCTTGATGAGCACTGTAATCCATCAACACTGGGAAAGCAGGTCTATGGTACATGTGTTTATTGTCTTTTTACCCCTTGTAATTAAAGGAAGTCTGGTCCTTAACCCATGTTCCCATGGTTAAGAGGCTGCATTGCTGCCTCCCAGCCCTTCAGCTGCATGGGCAAATTGTGGCCTGGGCAAATTCCTGCTGGGCACAAGGCAAACCAATGTTCCTTGAGGACAGTTTACAACGCTGCTAAGAAAGAACCTGGTACCACAGCCCAGAAAAACCTCACTGAATACAGACACTGCTTTTTAAATGTTATGCCAGTAAAGCACATTTTACCCAAGAACTTGTGGCACCAGCTTGTGCTTTTCCTTTTACATTTCTCCTACACATCACCCTTTTCCACTGAGAACGTACACACAGGCACGTACCATGACTGGACACATCTCTTCCTTCAAGCCATGTGCTGCTTGGGCACTTAATTTTTGGATATGTTAATCCAAAGTAGCTAGAAACAGCATTCAAGTATAAACCTTGACCAAGTGAAATGAAGATCTATCTTACTGGATCCTTAAATCAGAGGGGTTTTTTCCCCTTGCAAGCACGACACAGTGAGCTGATCATGTTGTGGCCTCTCAATGATAAATGTTAAGGTTACTTTTAGGACCTTATTTTCTAGTGGAGCTCATATCTAACATATTGTGCTCTAACACGCTATTAAGTTTTACACCATTGTTTACACCACTCCTGGTTGCATTTAATTTTGGGGTTTTTTTTTTGTGACCTTGGAATGGTTTAACTTGTTTCCCCTTCTTCCCTTATGGCATTTTTCAAGTTGCTTTCAACATAATCAGTGTTTTTTCAGTTAAGAATGAATCGACCAGAAGAATAGCTTGAACAAATTGGTTGGTTCAGCCACTCTTAGAAAAGTTGATTTTTTTTTTTTTCATATGGCTTCACTTAGAAGGAAGGAGAACTTTGCAGCACAGCACCGTGGGGTCTGGTATCGAGCATGAGGAAACCACGGCCCCGGTCTAGCTGGCTGCTCCTGCACAAAGGCCAATTTACTTTCTTGTTCCCTGGGGAGAAGGTTTATGGTTCATGGGCAGAAGTCAGATTCTGAGATGCTTGCTCAGCTGATACTCATCAGGTATCCAAGTCAGGCTGTGGCTCCGAGACCACAGATCTGAGATTAAACAGTTTTGGGTCACAACACTTTGCGTGAACCTTCCTGGCTTTGGATTCCAACAGGCCCAAAGATTCAAAGCAAATATCAGAGGCAGATTGGAAACATGCAGCACCTACAGTCCACAGAAGTTTTCCAAATAAAACAAAATAGTAATATCTAGATTCATTTCAAATTTGGCCCAAGTGCCCAAAAAGCTCTCTGAAATCCTGGGCTACGTTTTGTGTTAGGAAAAAGCCACCCAGAAAGCAACCTCTAGCTGTTAGCTGGGGAAAGCTCCTTGCAGTTCCATAGGTGATGCAGTTGCTTTCAAGATTCAAAAGAAGCAAGAAGTTGTTTTCCTTCCTATACCCTCACACAGTCTTTCTGAGC